TACTGAAAACAAGTCTCCTACACGATCTGGCACTAGCATGTCTTACATGTGGGACATTGTTTACCTAACTGCGCATGCCTGTAAACTTAGTTAAAAAAACGAAAATGCCTATGGCAGATTTATGCGCAGTCACATAAAAAATATTATAAAAAATCACTTGTTTAAAATCATTTGTTATAGCACTACATTGCACTTACACTTTTGCCAACTCGAAATGAAGCATCGAAAGAAATAGCGTTTATTACAGCAAAACTGATATAATGAATCTTAATTTATTGAGCTTCGTGGTCTGTTCTAAACGAAAACVTCTCAGCCATGTTGTTTGTGCATTGTATACGAGTTTTAATTCTGCGATATAAATATTATCTTTGGTACCCTAATGGACTACAAAACAAGTGATGAAATAGTACTAACGAACCTGAATCGATTACACAATGGAAGACAAAGTAACGTATTTGAAAACTATTGTTTGATTACATCAATATCAAGCCTAGGTGTACAACACGCTAATAAGCTAGTTATGCATTTTGGCGTTGTTTACGCTTCCTTTACTAGAAAACTGAACATGATATCAAAGATGTTTCCTTACTTCCTCGTCGATCATAGTATTACAAAGTAATGCCATTCCACTCGTGAAATTAGTTGTTAAATTTCCCCGATACCCTAATCACTAATTTCCCTCGTTCCATGGTATTACTTATAATTAATTAGAATTGCACATAATCAAACTGATTGCGCACACCTTGACTTCCATCGTCGTAAAGTATTATAATCACCGATACAAGTGATGCTAGACCAGCCATAATTTCACACCCAGCAGTTGTTTTCTTTCGTCCAAATCTAAAAGATGAATTCACAAACTGTAATATTACTATTATGAAATTTGACTTTGCAGGTAAGTAGTTACTACAGTACATATAATTGTAAATATACTATATATATCTATAATATGGTTTACCTCGTGTGGACATATATGGACATCATTGTGCCCAATGTTTCTCCAGCTCCTGACAAAAACCAGTTCAAGTACATATTCCCTCCAAGATTGGGAGCAGTGAAGTGTAGACCGTTATATATCATAGCACCTACCAAACTTTGAAAATAAGTCCATCAATATATAGCGATTGTTTTTTTATAACATTTCTTTCTTTACGCAGCCGTTGGTTACATATAATTAATGGCTTCTTGTTTATTTATTGTAAAAAGCACAAGTGCTGTGTTATAAATGGCTTCTTTATTTATTGTAAAAAGCACAAGTGCTGTGTTGGCTCGTTTTCATGATCATGCCACACGCCGAGTGCGCATAATATCTAAATTCATTATATATCATTATAAATGTTTATGGCACCTGTTATACCAAAGAACCAAGGTGGATACTAGATATTTTTTGCTGAACAGAACTCTAACATCTCCAAGAGATTTTTCTTCCTTTTCGTAGCTGGGTAGATTGATTTCATCGCCACGAACGTCTCTACCGTTGACATTGGCGATACGTTGTAAAGTCTGACGAGCTTCTTGTATTTTTCCCTTGACGATGAGCCATCGAAGAGATTCTGGCACTAAACTTTAAAGGAAATGTGATGTTTCAGATCGCTATACTGCAACTAATATAGTACAGCCCGTACTTAAGCCTATAGCGTACAAGAGCGTGCGAAAATAAACGATTATTCAAAAGAAATTGCAATCTAGCAGGAGCTTTTGGTGATGCCTACTGTTTGATTTGATTTAATAAATAAATTAGACATTATATCATATATTTTTTWAAATTATAATTTTATTAATTGTACATAGTTTCAGATATCCATATCCATAACTTTTTATTCAAATCATTTTTATTCATTYATTTAGTTCCTTTTGTATTTATTTTGTGAAAACCTTTAAAGTAGCTTTTTAGCTAAGTGTTTCTTCACATTAAAATTCTATTCTATTTCTTGACTATAGAAAAGATATAATCTTAAAAGAATCCGAAAAGGATCTTACCGATACAACAGTAGTGGAGGCATTCCCAAAATAGCAAGTATCATCATAAACAGCTTCCAATCACGAATGAGATATCCARCACCTCCAAAGAACATGAAACCAAACCCATAAGAAATCCACAAACCGGTGCCAGCGAGTGGACGCTGCTTAATGCCAACACTCTCMAGGAGAATAGTAATTCCTGAAGAAATAATTCCATCTAAATAAAAACAAGCAAAAGTTAATCAGCGCTTACAAAAACAGACGTTTTAGAAATAGACATATCATGAAAGGTTTGCACGGGAAGCGGTGCTTTCAATAGAATTCCTGGTGCTGAGGATTTCATGTAAGGGAAATTAAAGCTTACTTCCAGCAATTATAGGCTAAACCAAAACCAAATATGGCTATCCTTTAATTTACATAGAAAAAATGTTCGTCCCTGCCTTTGAAAATTATCTATCATCTAAAATGGCTGGACAGACTAGACATGGGATATGAAAAAAAGAAAGTGATCCCCAATATACTTATTGATATTTACATAATCCTAGTGATTGGAAAAATATCAGAGCCACAGCCATAGCATATACTGGTGAATATCTCAGAAAAAACAATGAAGTCACTTCGAAAAATCCACAGAGGAACAGGGCCTTTTTTCTTCCAAATTTATCACTYATCAATCCTGCGCCAAACGAGCCGAAGAATCCACCAATTGAATCAGTAATGATGATAGCAGGACCATAAGCTGCCTTGTCGCACACAAGATCAAACTGTAAATTGAAAAAAAAGAAAAAAAACTGGTTTATACGTATCATTTTGGCATGCAGCCTACAACTTAAGGAAATCAAGAAAATTAGGATTTCATAAATTTAATTTATATTGTAAAATCTGACGCACTGATTTAGTAATTTTACTGCAATTTTTCTCTTAATAAACCAGTCTATCTATCGATATTTGCTCGTTTAAGCATTCTTCTTGTTAACATACACCTACTTGCAGAAACGTTGTCATAGAAAATAGAACATTTGAATTTAGTAAAAAGGAACGAATTAAAACAAGACAAAAGAGAGCGTTCAGCCTCAGTGATCTTGCTTTGTATTTTTAATTTATTCCTTTTTACTAAATACAAATGTCCTATTTCCTATGACAATCTTTCAGCAAGTAGGTGTATATAATGCAATATATTTATGTATATTATGCAATCAACAGCTACAAATATCAAACCTGGGTTATAAGTGAGGTGTATTCATCAACGAACTTCCATTCCTCACGAGGTATTCCGCATCTGAAGTCGTAGTTCGGTTGGCCAGGGGCTATCGGACCTGTTACATTACAAACTGTGCTATTCTCGACGCATTCCCATGGTGGTTCGGCTGTCAGTAGGAAAATACTGGCATCACTGAAGCATGCCCAGCCAAGGAAGACATAGAGCATAAAGCCCAAGAACAGTTTTTGGAAAATACCAAAACTTCCAATTTTATCAAAGATKGCTTTAGTAGCGGCTGACTTCTTGTCATCGCATTTATTGCTCATGATAGCTTCACAGATGTCAGTCATGTTTTTACCTGTATAAAGCATAAACGAAGTCTTTCATTGTTAACCACTTTATAATTTGCCGTTAATGAGGTTTTTTAACTCGAAGATTGCGAAGCAATCGAAGAGTTATAGGAGGGAGATAGATGATGGTGTGTGAGGTGAGATGGACTAGTTAATAGGTCACTTATTTTTTTCTGTAAACATACGGGCATTTAGAAATCCGTACTACAAAGATGGCCAGGTGTTTTGATTTTAAACACGCAAAATGTGATTTTTGAGGTGTCGACGTTCTTGTATAAGCTTCTTACCAATTATTCTGTTGATTTAAGAAGTTGTTTTAGGAGATATCGTGTCAATATGGCTCATAGATACAGCATTAATTCTATTACGATGATATCAAGGATTATTCCGATCCACGTCGATCAGTATTTAATGCTCATCGATTCATATAAACTTTWTCCTTCGTAAAAAATCGATGCACGGACAACACTACAACAAGTAAGAACGCAAAATATAAATTTTAACGGTCAGCATTCAAAGTGAAAGTATCATCACTTCAAACTATGAAATTGTGATGGTGTTGATAATTCATTGTCGATATCGTTAAGGTGTTACGGATGCATATAAATTATTAAATTCAAAATTTCAAGTTCAATATTTTTATTTTATAGATTTTTTGTCGAAATTAGAMCACATCTAAACAAAGTCTGAGGCTTCATACAGATTTATGTCGGTCCACGGTATACTTGTCTAACAATCTTCGAGTTGTGTTGCCATTGGCGGCTTGATTTTAGATAATGCTATGGCTTGAGTTGCCCCACTGATGATACGGGACTCACGAATCCAAAMGTTTGGTTCTGGAAGGCGGATTTGAGACACTTGGAATCAAATCACTTTTATGGAATTCCGTTTCGTGACAAGAGGAATCCGTCATCCAATGTAGTGTGCTTTGCATTCTGAGCCTGGGCGCCCTGTGTGCGCTACACGTTTCAAGTATAGGTTTCTGTTAATACCCACCGCAACTTAATATATTGATTTTGTTTTACCTTTACCGCAATAAATGATACTTTATATTTAACCTTTTAATTTCATCTATAAGCAATATAGTGTCAAAAACCTGTAATTTTTAGTGTGGAATTGAACCATTAAAATCTATACATGTGAAGCGCCTTTGAACTCAGAGGATATTGGCGCTATATAAATACCACATATTATTATTATTATTATTATTATTATTATTATTATTATTATTATTATTATTATTATTATTATTAAAACATGAAAGAAATTAATGGAATCCTTATAACTTTATTCAGAAAATAGATATGTTTTGCATTATATTGAATGTCTTGAATTTCAAACGTTGTTCACTGACAAAGACTATATACACAGTGAAGTAATTGATGTATAAATTTGTGTTTCAAAACCGTGTCAGCGTTTTTTTGATATTGAATTTGAAAAAAACTCAAAAAAAGTTTGGACATGTAATTTGTTATTTGACATAATAACTTTAAAATAAAATCTTCATCCAAAAACCCCGACACGAATTTTACCTGAGTGTTCTGAAGGATATCGTATGTRAAAAAATACAGTTAAACTTTTCGCAAGTTAGCTTCGAGAAGCCAAAAGTGTGACAGCTAAACAATTATTGATAAGTACTGAATCTATTAAATATTTTGGTGAGCTGACCTCAAAAAGTTTTTGTTTTCAGTCAAAGAGCTTTAATATGATATAATATGTTATGGTTCTTTTCAAAAAAGACGAAAATAATTTTTTAACTTGGGGTTTCGCAAACTGTAACSAAGGTTTACAATAACCTTWAAAAAAAGAAACGTCCTGGTTTTCTCAGAATACAATTTTGCTGGAGTTTTACTGCCATAGAGAAAGCCACATTTAAAAATAAAATAATAAACAATTATAATAATCAATGTAGAGATTTTTATCATACGAATGTAGTTATCATGTTTAAAATGTTTCTTCCTAATTGTTTCCAAGCGAATAACGTTCATACAAAGGACGGGCTGCGGTGTCTCGACTAAACTTCTCCTAAATCCCTAATATCTCTAGTAGCCATGAATGCTATCTATTTATTCCCCGCATTTAATAGACGCTAGCCTTTAATTCCAAAGAATTGTATGGGATGAAAAGAAGTATTGTATCTCAATATCACACGTTTTTAATCTCTCACAAGCCATTTACACTGTTAACAATATCTAATTTGCAATTCTATCTTAATCGAAATTCTCAGCTAAAATTCTCACTTTGAAGTACTTGATCTTTATATAGTGTCCATACAAGGTGAGATATGATAGCTCTAGTTCAATTAAAGCCAATTAAGGGTTAGGAAACAAAAGTTTCCAATGATTCATTGTGTACCATAGCTCTACAGGCTTTTTTTTCGAACGGATATTTATTTACGTTTACTGAATAACTCTAAGAGTGTCGCACTAATGGTGGGAGACGTGCAAAAACTACCTAAAACTATACAAAAACTGAAAAACGATAAGATTTATCATGTTGAATATTTCGGCCTATGAATATTTATCCAAAGTCCATCGACTGCTTACTG